CGGGGCAGCATTCATTGCGAGTCCTTTATACCCAAGTCGATATATTTTTTGAGCAGCGAATAAAAGTGACGCTCACTATTTTTGAGTATTCGTAGTACAGGCTGATGAATATCTCAATCTACGAGTGTGTCGCCACATAGATCGTCAGCTCATCTATTCTCTTCGTAGCAGTCTTACCGCTTCACTTCAATACATTGACCCCTATGGAACAAATGTTGAAACTCTACAGCAGTTTCTACCTGGGCAAAAATATGCGTCTAATATCCCTTTGAACAAACAATTCACGATTGATAGCTGCAAAACAGCGAGAGCTCGTCGGTGTGTGTTTAGCTTAGTTTTTGGGCTCGGTTCTGCCATCACAACGTGATATGGATGAAATGAATAATTCATCGTGGCTAAGTCCCGACATACAACCCTTTTTCTCGAGAGTTTCACTAAAGACCGCGCTGCTTCAAGCCGCTCATAAACCGTGAGACCGTCATTCTCGGTTGATTTTTTCATCCCAGGAAGGGTAAACTCTGAGACTCAAGCACATAGCTATTTTATTCGTATATCCTAAAGAACGTATCATATCGTCGCATTCTTCTGTTCCAACCGAAATGAGCTTTGTAGATCTCGGTTTGTAGCTGTCAATACCCGCACCAACAGAGTATAGCTGCGGAGCTTGTTGTACCTCCCGATCAATCTTCAATACTCTTGCCGGTGCAACATCTGCAAATATTTGGAACCGAAAATTACACGTAACTTGCATGAGATCCCTACCTCTGGCTTTTTCACAAAGCCCTACCGTGCGCACCCCAGATAGCATTGGTAGATCAAAAGATGTGATCCATATTCGTTGCGATGTATGCCGTCTCTTTTGAGATTCTGGATCCATTGAAGAGGTGGCAGTGCAAGCCGCAATCCCTTAGTTACAACAGTAAGTTTACCTATTCTGGGAAAGGCAGTCAATACCACGGCTATTAGATCCTTCAGCTTGTGAACGTAGTTCAACGATTGTTTATCTTATGGATCAATAGACAGGAACTTAGAATGCACACGTATTGGGTCGCGCATACCAACTTAAGTTTGGACTGCTTCATTATCAAAGGAAAGCCCGTTGGCGCTTCAGCGCAATGTGCTGTTGCTCTTTTTGAAGCAGGCTCAATTTATTGGCCGTCGTTTTGAAAACATTTTTTGTCATCTCTTCTCCCAAAGTTTGTAGCGCCCAGAAATAGCGGTCTCAATCTCTAGAGGTCTGAAGAAGGTGGCTTTACCTCAACCGATGTGTGCTGTCAACCTTCCAAAAAATGTCTCCCCAGCTATTATCGTAGTGGATGAAAGCTCAGCAGCAGTATCCAGGCCTTGGTCCATCAGTAATGCTATCCCCTTGGAACTAACAGAAGAAATGATTTATTAAGCGTGTCTCGTTTTCATAGGTGAACATGTTGAGCTCCAGTTATTACAGATGGCATTGTGTTTTCAAATTAATTAGTCAAACTGACGGCAAGTGTTACGAAGTGCAACTATGTTGCCGTTGCCGTTGCAGCTTACATATAGAAATCTTCAATTCGTGCACAAAATCTCAATTCAGTGTTATTCATCGAAGATCCTTTTGGATACCAAATTGTGCTCAAGGTAACGAGTGAGTTATTAATATATATCGCTTTCTACAGCTCTCTTTTCTTTTTTTGGAGTACCATTACTCCAATGTCGTGCATGTGTATCTCTGTATTCACATCGTACTTAATCCTGACTCTCTATTACTGTAGTAGTCTCACTTCTTTTGGTCGAAGGAAGCAAACCAGCCTTTATTTGTACTGGCGCGGGAAGACGAAACCAATAGTCAAAATTGCTAACCCTTTTCTATGTTGGCGGGGCTTTGATTAGGCCTCTCCCTTGTAGCCTTGATAGCAGCGTCGCCACACTACAATAAGCGGTTTCGAGAACATTTGCGCTGTTCTTGGAGCAATTCCTGCGTATTTGCGTGTTGTATTTGGCCGTATGCATATCGTACTCTAAAAATAAAAAGGAAATTTTTGTATGAAGGATTAAGGAAATACTCCTTACAATTACCCTCGCACTTAGCAAGATCATCCTAGTACATCTATGCGGTATAATAGGGTTGATAGCCGTTTGCCTGATCGCGTGCTGCATCCATGGAGCTCATTCGAAACGCCATGGTAACACAAGCTTCACAAAATGTGATCTTGTCTCGTACTATCTCTCGCTCTGGCGATAAGAAATTTAGGGTCTTGACTACTTTACAGCTAAAACACAATCCTCCTAAACACATTCTACACATGCCCCGACCAAAGCTATTCAAACAACCAGACTGCAAATTGCAGTTGCATGTCACACAAACATCTTCATTTCGTGGTACAGGTGCAATATTTGCCTCAAACAATGCCTCTTGACGCTGTCGAAGCATCCACGTGAGTTTTTTCATAAGGCCACACTTGACATAATTTGTTGCTGACAAAAGCGCGTTGGCACAGATTGGCAATAGCACGGCCTCGGGGATGCAACCACCAGGATCCACGGAATCGAATGCAAAAGTGTCAATAACATTTGGGGCAATTTGGCGAAAAAACCCTGTGATGTTGTGCTTGGCACGAATGACAGTTGGCAGCGGTTGTACCAGTGGTGACTCAATGGAATGCAACATGAGGTACCCAACTCGTTCGCCATTCGCAAAATGCAGAACGCCGGATCCTTCCAAACATAAGAAATCGCGATCTTTAATCAGCTTTGTGCGACTTAAAGGCAAGTCGATTTGAAGCCATTTTACAGTCACGGATCGAAATGGGTCGGACGCTGTAGGTTTTATCAGTGTAGCCAAGACAGCACCATCGCTATAGTCATGTACGTACGACGCTTTGAGTTGCATGATAGCATCCGTGGGATTCACAGTACCAAACATCAGATCGTCCAATTGGCCTTTAAAGGAACCCACGCTGAGTACAATGGGCTTAACTGGTCCATCTCGTTTATCTGGTTTACAACAATGTGAAGCTTTTGCGCGCTTAGCATAGATATTCAGATCGTCTTTTGATTTGATAAATTTCCACCGAGCTGGATTGACCTGCGAATTGCTCAAGACGTATTCTTCATATTTGCGAAATGTGTCTTCAACAAGATCATTTTCAATCTCGAGCAACATTCGCTGGTCTTTTAATGTCAGCGGCAATTGATGATACGGACTCATGGTGAAACGGTCTTTGGGCATCGATGACGAGTCTTTTGTGTTGTGATGGACAAGACGAGGTGTGCTTCGCCTTTGCTATGACGACAATAGACTTGACTCGCAAGTCCGTGTCAGGTGGACAAGAGTACGAGTCGAGAGCCCATCGGCAAGCGATGAATCAGTGCACTGACGTACCCGCGTGAACATAACACCGCTCTTCTCTCCATGGAGCTTTTTCGCGGTATTTTAAACTGGCTTGATCGTTAGTTTTTGAAAAGCGACTTGCATTGCTTGTCTTTTGATGACGCGAGATGAAGCAACAGATTCAATATTTACCGATTTGTAGGGGCTACAGATCTGAGATGAAAGAAAAGGGTACCTATTAAACACTGATCGTCATTAAAGATCAGTCCAATGAGTAACATCCTTGTACTGAATCTTTTGTTAACTTCAAGGCACTGAGGATGTTATGAATCTTGAAATTGACGTTTACACAGTGCGGGATGTTGCTTGCTAGTATCTAACTCAGTCATGGTTTAAGCTTCTAATCGAACCTCCGAATATCCACGTGACTGTCTAACTTTGTCTATATGTCATTTATTGTTGATCTAGAGTCATCAACTTTAAGATGACACGAGAACAGAACGTGCGATGAACATTAACTCTTTTACTGTCCGTATGATTCCATTTAGCGTCGTGGCTTCCACTGAGATTGGCAAAGTTTACTGACACTTCATACGCCATTAAGCAACTCAACTAAGAGCCACCACATCTGTAATGCTCTCTTGGCTCCTTGACCGTGATGAACCTGTTAAAAAGCTTGGACTACTGCTGGCTGGTATTTTGGTCGGTACTGCATTTGCGTCGCACTACATCCCAACCGACAGAATTGACGCTAAAATATCTAAGGAGCGACAGAGTGTAACACCCGGAGCTCGCGGCCCTACTCGAATCCCATTTCTCCCATCGGCTATACCAGTCGTGGGCCACGCCATGTTCATGGCGTACCATGCAAATCGGTTTCTTGACTGGGTAACCGACATCTTTCTGTCCCGCAATGGTGCTCCTTTTACATTACGTTTGCCCTTCCAGCGCAATGTGATCCTCACAGCTACACCAGAGCACTACGAACACGTGATGAAGACTCAGTACCACAATTTTGTTAAAGGCGATCATATTTACGACTTGCTCAAAGATCTGCTAGGTGACAGCATCTTGATTGTCGAGGGAGACGAGTGGAAGTTTCACCGCCGTGTGTTCGTCAATCTCTTTAGTTCTCGCACACTACGTGAAGACATGGCACCAATCATACAAAACCACGTACGTGTCTTGATGCGGGTATTAATCGATGCTGACATGTCGAAAAACCCAATCGATATGTTCAATACCGTAGGTCGATTCACACTCGATGCATTTGGTGAAATCGCTTTTGGGTTTAGTTTAAACACGCTCACGATGAAAGATCAACATCCGTTTGAACGTGCATTTGTTATGGCACAACATATTGTTGCGGCTCGACTCATCGTGCCGACGTGGTATTGGAAACTCAAGCGTTGGCTTAATGTCGGGAGTGAAAAGCAGCTGCGAGAGGCTCTTACAACTGTCGACCAGTTTGTCATGAAACTCATCTCTAAGACAATGGATATGCGCAACTTAAGTGCAAATCCCACTTTGCACGAGCGACCGAATATTGTATCACTAGTCTTAGCAAACAAGACAACAGATGGGAAACCTGTAGACCCACTCGTGGTCCGTAATATCGTCCTTATGGCCATGATTGCAGGGCGTGATACTGCAGCAGATGGACTTGCATGGCTTTTTCATTTGCTTTCACTTAACCCACGGGTCGAAGAAAAGTTGCGAGTTGAGTTGCTCAACAAGTTGCCGAAATTAGCAACTGATGCCGAATATGTGCCTGAGATGCATGAAGTGAATACTTTGCCATATTTAGAAGCCACAATTTGCGAAGCGTTGCGCTTATTTTCCCCCGTAGGATTGGCGCAGAAACTTTGCGTACGGGACACTGTTTTTTCGGACGGTACATTTGTCCCAAAAGGGTCAAATATTGCACTTGTATATTATGCCATGGCACGAATGCCGCAAGTCTGGGGGAATAATGCGGCGTCATTTGTTCCTGAACGATTTATTGAAAAGGAGACAGGAGCAATGCAGAAAGTGGCTTCGAGCAAGTTTAGTGTCTTTAACACAGGACCACGCGTGTGTGTAGGACGCCATTTGGCCATGATGGAGATGAAAATGGTTGTTGCAAGTGTAGTGAGTCGTTTTCATTTGAACGAAGTGCCTGGGCAACATGTTGCGTGTTCAATTGGACTCACTATCGGTATGAAAAACCCTCTGATGATGTACGTACAGAAAGGTAGTGCGGTTGTGACAACAGATGGTGGGTATATGGTAAAAGCTGCTTGATGTTAGCCAAAAACCGTAGATGTGTCGTATTTCTAACTTGAGGTACTTTACCTTCTACAATTATAAATATCTGCTTCTTTGGTCACACATTGATATTCAAACGAGAGTTGCTGCGCAGCAATTCGAAGTATCGCGTACGCCTGAAAGTGCGTGGTGTATGGCTTTTGACTGTGTGCAACAGTGAGTATTACTACCACATCCATCCATGACAACATTAGTACCTTTTAAACGTATTATACTTGAAGCATCTGCCGTAAACGTCCTCAACGTCAGACTCTTGATCTAATTTAAAATGACATGATACCAACTCTTTCGTTCTATCGCCGATTTCACATCACTCGGTCTCTTTGTAGCCATAGCTTTGACACGAAAACTTTCGACACTGCGTCTATGACACTTTGAGTATATTGATGGCTTGCTCTCGCGCAATTCCATAGAGATGACAGCGTCGTTTATACTATATTTAAGGCGGAAAAGGCCTTGGATACCGGTCACGTCTATCAGAATTGCGGCTGAATGTGAGCTAAACCGGGAAGTGACGCTTAAGATACTAGCAAAGCGCTTAGACGAGACACAAAGTAAGATTCACTTTATAAGCAACTCTATATTGCATTGCAATATTAATTGTATCAAAGTTTGTACG